CCTGCTCTTCAGCAAATGTTAGCCCCATGGTGGGTGGGCCTTGCTCCCCCCGGCTCTGTGTACACACCCATCATTAGGGGGTCTTGCCCCAAGTGGTTTGAATGCTGTAGCTGCTCACAACCCTTCACCTGGAGCGGGTGCTGTGGTGTTGGGCTCTTTCTCAGGGTGAGTCTCTAGTGCCTAATTCAGAGTTTTAAAGATGTAGCCGGCGTCATTTCCAGAGAGCATTCCAAGGCCTCAAAAGCCCATCAATAGCAAAGTTATAGCAGAAGCCCAGGTCAGCCACCCCCCTCAAACTGCTGCAGACCCGTTGGCGGAAGATCAGACACCCCGATTGCTAAGGGTTAATTACAAACTTGGCGCCCATCTGCTCCAGAACTCTCAAGAGTCTTTCTTTTTTCTCTTTCCAAAGGCATAAACATTTGTACTGCAAGTAGCCAGGGGGGCTTCAGTTGTTTATTTTGTAGTTAACAAAGAGAAGAACCTTTTGGCTTGTGGCCCAAGTGTTCTGCTGGCCTCAGGGAGAACCTTTTGGGAGGTGCCCCCTACACAAGCAGGTGCCTCTGGGGGTGGCTCAGGTTGGGGTGGGGCAGGCTAACAGCTTCAGCCCTGCCCTGGGAGCCCAGGTGACTTCCCCAAGCAGGGGAAGTGCTACCTCTCAGGCTTAGTCTGTCTTGGAAACACACACCCCAGCATTTTGACTCTTCGACAGGAGAAAGAACTGCTTTCTTCTGAGTGGTATGCCAGTGAGAGGCAAATGTTGTTTTTTTACACTTTCCATTTAAAAAAAAAAAATCAATGTGCTTCCCCCCCCCAAATTGCACATGTAATTCAATAATATAAAAGATTCAAGCTACATATAAACACATCAAATAAAATGTGTTGAACAGTGACTTAGAATTTCATGGTATGGAAGTAGAATAATTCATCTGCTCACGTACCTGCTGATGGGGTGTGTTCCTTTTATAAGCAGACAAAAAGGATGCTCTTAAATAAAGATCTTCCTGTTGTTGGGTCCCGTGGGGTCAGGGCGCAGAGGACTCGCCTTCTGAGCAGACATTTTGAGAATCCGAGAGCTCCTAGGTGTCGTGGTGAGAGAGAGTGTCCTGGGTTAGTCAACAGGGTTAGGGCCCAGAGCAATGGAGGTGGCGGTTCAGGGCTGATGTTCTGCCGCAGCACTCAGATATTACCACTGAGCAGCGCTGGTGAGCAAGGCTGCGCAGGGGCGGCTCCTGCCATGAAAGCAAGGGCGTGGGAGGCAGAGTCGGGGCGAGCGGAGAAAGAGCTGGGCCTGGGGTTTTAGCCTGCCTGTTTGCCCACCTGGGGCCAGGAGGGAAATAAAAGGACGTCAAAATTCTGCATTTGTTCCTGACCTGAAGCAACAGATGAAGAAATCCACTGCAGGCAGGAGGCCTGCAGAAGAAGGGTATTTTCACCCAATAGATAACGTTACTGAGAAGGTGATGGTCAGTAGATATTTTTATAAAATAGGGCCATATATTGAACATATTGGGGGAAATTAGCTACTTAAAGGAACCGAGTCAGGCATTATTTTTCTAAGGAGTGAACTGCCCTTTGTGCATTGTGTGCTTGGAATTTGATAAACAGAGTTTCAATCCCAAAGGCAGGGCGCATCTGAGGTCCCATGCTCTTGGTGGTCCCCGGGAGGTCTGGCTGCAGAACCGTGTGATTCCGCTCCCGTTTGGGACTATGGACCAGGCCCTTGACATGCTGACCCTCTCCAGACCCGTGTGGTCAGAGTGTCACCACCCTTAGTTTACTGATGAAAATCATTAAAATGCCGTGCCAGAGCTGAACACTTTACCTTTATTATGTTATTTAATCTTCACAACAACTCTATGAGAAAACTGTTAGACCTATTTTATAGATGAGTCAACTGAGGATACAAAGGTAAAATAACTTGCCTGAGGTCTGGGAGCTGGTGACAGCAGAGCCTGCATTAAACCCAGTCCCCACAAGTTCAGAGCTCACGGTATTAATGCTCCTCTGATGAGGAATCAAGGCTTCCTCAGTGAAGCCAGGTGGCTTGGCTAGGGTTACCTACACAGGTATGTTGGCAAGCCTGCCTCCTTCCCCCACCCCTCAGCAGCGGCCGCCTTCCTCAGTCCTAGCTTCCGGTCCCTGTCACCCCAAACAAGACAGAGCCACAGCCCGGAGTGTTTCTGGGGTACAGGGTTCCCAAGACTTGGGCCCAAGTTGCAAATGACTCGGTGGGAATGGAGAAAAGGCAAACAGCACCAAAGAGAAAGGCCACCCGTGCAGCCAGTCTCCTGCCCCGAGAGTCAGCCGGGGAGCCAAGGGGTTGGAGAAGTTAAGCAGATTCTTTGCTAAGCCCCTTTGCTGAAAGATTTGATGGCAAATCTCAGCCAAGCAAGGCCACATGCAAAAGGGCCGCCCTGCCCGCCTTGCGGCACTGGGAAGGCCAGTTTCTAAGAGACTGGGGCTCCCTACGTGGGAAAGGGAAGTGATTTTTGCCCAACATCTGGCTGGGATGTTCCAACTCATGGGTATTAGCAAAGGAGAACAAGGCATTGCTGAGGGTGGCAAATTAGTTATAATTAAGAGAACCTGGGAGACGCAAACCACTGTGAGGGCCACCAGCTGTCGTGGATCTGGGGCCTCTGGAGGAAACCGGCCGCCACCCCTGCAGTGCAGCCCATTCAAGCAAAGAGCCTCCCCTATCCCTACCCCGCCCTCCCTTGTGCTCCCAGGGGTCAAGCGCTGCTGTGCGTTAGGGTCTCCCTTTCTGCCCCACCAGCACCTTTTCCTTCCCTTTCTCCACAATTTAAACTCACCCAGCTTGTCTCTCAGGAAAGCAAACAGGCTTGGGGGAGGGTTCAAGTCCCGATTGCTGTGCTTCTTGAGTGAGTTATTTAACCTCTCTGAGCCTCAGTGTCCTCATCTGACACATGGGGATAATAACGAGGCCTAACCCATCCAGCTGTTGTGAGCATTCAAAGGGATGAAAAGCGGTTGGCATGGTGCAGGGGCTGGCCTGTGGGCTTGCCTCCTGTTTTCCTACAGCCCGCGAGCTGAGAATGGTATTTACATGTTTTAATTATTGGGGGAGAGTCAAAAAAGAGGAAGAATACTTTGGTGACATGTGAAAGTTATACAAAATCCAGGTTTCAGTGTCCCTAAATGAACTTTTATTGGCATACAAGCTGCCATGTGTTTATATATTGTCTGTGGCTGTTTAGGGGTGGACCTTGGGGCCCACCTCCCACTGCCGATCCCCACTCCCTCACAGTCACCCGAAGGCTTGAGGACTTGAGGTGATGGGGGGGTCCTTGGGGGTCCCTGGGAATAGGCTATGGTTGGAGTGGATGCTGCCCCCAACCACTGCAGGCAGAGTTGAGAGGTTGTGACAGAGATTGGAGACCATAGGACCCACAAAAGGTAAAATAGTTACTATTTAGCCCTTTGCAGAAAAAGTTTGCTAACTCCTGGTGTGAGTACCTGACACTGGATAAGTGATCAGTAAAGTGTATGCATGGTTACTATTATGATTATTACTCTTTTGGTCTAGTTTTAACTTTCAGGTACCCCTGTTTTGGCTTAATGGAGAGATTCTGAAACTGAAGTCCATGGAAGGGTTTCTGGGGCTGGGTGGGGAGCATCTCTGAATCTCCAGAATTTCTATGTAGCTTTTGCAGGTGAGGTCTTTTGGGGACAGGCTTCGTGACATTCCTCTGATTCCCAAAGGAGTCTGGGTTGCCAAATAGGTAAAGAAGTGTAGGTTTGATGCTTTCCTCACCCTAGGCAAATTGATCTGTATTTTCCCTGGGCTGTCTGGAAGCAACAGGGATGATATTTGGGGGAGATATTTGGGGGCCACAGGGTTTCCCCTCAGACCCCAGCCCCCTGCCCAAGTGGGAGGGGCTTGCAGAGCAACAGGAACCAGGAGCCTTGGCTTTGGAGCCAGCAGACTTGGGCTCAGTCCTGGCCTTGCCTTCCACTGGCCAGACTGCTTCTCTGAGCCTTGGTTCCCAGGCTGGGTTGACCCAGGGATGACTTTGAGGGTTGAGCACAGTGTCTGGCACACATACCGCAGAAATGGTAGCTATTATTATTATCAGCAGCAGCAGCATCCTTGCACATTCAGATTTCCTCAGCTCACCTGGGACCTATAAAAAGCTGCCCCACATTTGGCTAATATGAGGTTTGAATTCCCACTGAGTGCTCTTGATCCGATTTTATCTTTGGTACCAGCGACTAAGGCGAGTTCATTACACATATTCTCACGATCAGTGTGCAAAACAACAGGTCCCCAATTAAGTTTTTAGAAGTTCAGTGGCTTCACTTGAACAGGGACAATGGTAAACGTTCCTGAGAGCTAAATAAGAGAACTGAAGCTTCTCTGTTGCAAGAACCTTGGCTGTTTCAGATCCTGCCATCTTTTTTCCCAAGGAGTTACTCTGGACCTCAAGCTTGGATCTGTTTTCCCCCTAAAATGCTTCCCTGTGGAGCCTGGTTCCCCAGCCCAGTCATCCACAGTGGGCAGGTTCATTCCAGAGCCTGGTAAACACCACTGAGAGGGCTGAGGGCATCCCTGCCACCGGGCTGTCCTGGAGACGGGCCTCTCGGACACAGGCTGGTCCACGGCCAGCCCAGCCCGGTGCTGTCTGCGTCCAGTTGCCGGGTGTTAGCCCCATTCAGCAGGGATCTGGTGGCTCCAGACAACAGCTGGAGACCAGGACGGGAGACTTCCAGCTACAAGCAAATGTTGCTGCTTCTTGAGGTTGAAATATTCTATCCCCCAAGTGTCCCTTTCAGCCAAGCAAAAACAATCAATCCCCCATGGGGACCCAACCCTGCCAGAGGAACAAAAGCTTCCCAGTTCTCTGCATCCCAGAGACCGTCTGCAGCTTCAGGCACGCACAGCCCAGTGGGGAGAGGGGATGATCACATGACCCCCAAGCTTGGAGACAAGGTCACCCTTGTCCAGCCCTTTCGTCTCCATGGGAAGAAGGGCCTTGGTTGCCTGACAGAGGATGGTGCTGATGCTGCCCTGGTGCTGGCTCCCGGATGGGCGGGTTTTAGTGTCCCATCTTGCAGGTTCGGAACAAGGAGATGAGGTCAAGGTCAGCGATCTCCAGAGTCCACTCAGATGGGTTTTGGGGGCTCCTCCTGGCGCTGTTTTAGGCAGGACAGTGGTGTGCATCCTGGCTGCGTGTATTTATTTTTCTGTTGCAGGCGGATCCATCTCTAAGAAGTTCACCAGCTAGGCTGTCCCATTTGTCTTCCACCAGCCATTAAAAATATTTTCCTTCAGGGAAGGAAAGCGCATACGGGAAGCAGGGGAGAGCTCAGAGAAGATAAACACTCAAGTGAAGCTGGCCTGTGAGGTGCCATCATGTGGCAACGGCCACAGCAGGTTAGGGCTGACTGCCTGGGCACAGGCCGAGGTCAGGAAGGGAGGGGACAGCGGGAGGGGGGCACAAACCCCACATCAAGGCAGCGCTTTCTGGAGAAGTGTCTGGAATGACTGCTGTGCTGCGCAGTTCTCCTCCCCTGCCCCTCTCTGTTCCGCAATGAATTTCTGGAGTGATATGGCCTTCAAAGTCGAGTAACCAATACACTGTGGATAGTGGAGGAAGCAGCCAGTGGAACTTAAGGCCACTGCCTATGAGTGGATGATTCGTTTTAGAGGAAAAGGTGACTACCGACCAAACGTCTCAAACAAGAGGGCTGTCACAGTTCAGTGAGCGTCGGCAACACTCAGAAGCTTCTCAGGGATTCTGGCGGGTCTGGGGTGGGGCCCAGGAACCTGCATTTCGAACAAGCACACCAGGGGTTCTGAAGCAAGTGGTCCAGGCACTGCTCTAAGGAACGTGTCTGCATCTGAGGTGGTGGTAACGTGCCCCCTTTTCTCCTTGCCATAACCAGCTGGAGCAGGGAGACCTCCCCCAGCAAACTGCCTCCTGAGAATTTGGACCCGGGGCTCCCAGAACCAGCAGTGGCTGTGTGACTGAACCAGGTAGGTCCGAAGCTTGGCTTCCGGGGCTGCCCCCTCTCCTTCTCCACGAGCCAGCTCCCCCCACCCCACTCCTGCCCAGGCTCCCCCTCATCTGCCTGAGTGTGTCCGTGACACTGTCCTCAGCAGCCTCCGGGGTGGCCCCAGACACACCCTGGAGATGTCATCTGTGTCCCCATTTCCATGGGCTGTGGAACCTAGGTCTGACCCTCCCTGGGTCTCAGGCTGCCTGTCCCGGCCTGACAGCTCTGCCTCCATGTCCCACGGGATCTCACTCAGCCCAAACAGAACTCAGCGTGTCTTCTCTCTCTTCCGGTGCCTTTTACGTCCTTTATCGAAAAGACTGGCCTCTCTCTCTCCCCAGCACCAAAGTCAGGATGCTTGGGCATCACCCTAGACACTCCCTTGTTCTTCACCCCCCAGCTCCTTTCTAAAATAACAAGGAACAGCCACCACTTACTGAAAACATACCACAGGTAATTCATCACAACTCAATGAGGTAAATAAGTACTGTAATTGCCCTCACCTGACAGGTGAGAAAACAGGCACCTGGGGAGGGGGTACGCGCCCGAGGTCACGTGGTGGTGGGGTTGGGGGATGAGCCAGGCCCCTGGCCTGCGGAGGTGGCCAGCTCTCTCTCAGGCCCTCCCCTCCCTCCACGGCGCCGGTGTGGGGGCCTCGGCATCTCCCGACTGGCCTCCTTGCCCTCGGTCTTACCCCACTCCAACCTGTTTTCCAAATGCACGTAGGAAATCCTTCTCACTGGGAATCTGGCGTCGCTCCTCCACTGAAACCCTTCAAAGCCTCCCTGTTTTACACCCCCGGCCTCACAGCGAACCAATGGTGGGAGCTGAATCCTGCAGGCTGACTCAGCCGTACTCTTAAGTTTACTGCCCCGCACTCCTATCTGAGCCTCAGCTTCCTCATCGTCAAAACAGGGACCACAGGACCCAATGCAAGGGCCACTGGGGTGCACAGCTCCTCACGGGAGAGGGCAGGTCACACCCGAGCTTCTTCCGTGTTATAAAAAGGAAGGGGTGGGGGGAAAGGGGAGAGGAAGAGCTGGCTGCTCTGAAAGGCAGGGAAACCCATGTGGACGATAATCATGTAGCATGCTAGCCTTCTTGACCTTCTGAGACGTAGATGCTGTGCATCTTACGGGAGGGGAAGCTGGGCCGACCGACCTGAGGCCACTTCGGACCCAGGTTTTTTGAGTGCAGAGCCCCTGTGCCCTTGCCCGTGGCCACCCTATGTCCACCGTGCACCATGTGAGTTTGGAATCCCAACTCTTCAGACCTTACCGGCCGGAGATCGGCTGTGGGTCAGAGACGCGATGAGAGCTGAGCGACTGGAAGACGCTGACCCAGTGAGAGCCCGAGGTCCTCCCAGCGCGACACCTTCCTGGCCTCGGGCTTGGGAGCCTCCCGTAAACACGACAACCTAGGGCCCATCACGATTTCTACAACAATGAGAATATTTATTTTCTCCAGACGGTAAAAATAACATTTTTCTCTCTTTTGTAAAAGTACCATTACATTCCATTTTCTTAAATAACAATCCTAAAAATATATATTAAATTGTATACAGTGCGTCACACTTCATCTTATATTTTAAAATACATGATGTTTCTATTTTATTCTCAAAGTTGTGTATTAAGAGCATATTTACAAATAAAGCCATGTCATCCAAAGTCAGGATCCCTGCGGGAAGGTGAGTCTGGATGTGGGCAGGTCCTGGCGCTGTGTGGACCCCTCGGCGGCAGCCCCCCAACCGTGTGCTCCTGAGGACACGTCCTTTCTGAAGCAGTAGATTGACCTCAGACTTTCCTCCACACCCCACTGCTGCCTCGTTAAATATGTTCAACTTGGCAAGATGGGAACCTTGGAAATGGGCCCCCTGGGGTCTGCAAACAGAGGGTGAGGCCCCATCCCCCGGGGCCAGCCAGCCTGAGGGGAGGCAGCTGGGCTGGAAGGTCTGAAAAACACCCTGGGCCAGGGTAGCTAAGCTGAGAGCCCTGGCCAGGAGGTAGAACAGTGAGGAGGGTAAACAAAGACACCAGAGGAAAACAATCAAAAGGTTAAACATTCCCAAGGTGGTAGCAAAAGCAGACATCAAACAGCAAGAAGAAGACTGGAAACCCAAGAGGGCAGCAGTTGACCGGGCTACAGAGTGGGGGCCACCAGGCTCTGCAGGAGGCCTGGGGTGCTCATCAGACAAGGGGATGGGACCTCGGAGGCCGTCCCCCTGTAAGTGCTAGGGAAGATGAAGTGCCAGGAAGCATGGGGGCTTGGTGACAGGCTGCATGCCCTGCTGGTGTCAGGATGACCTGGCCGGACACTGAGCAGGTCAGGCCACTCCTGCCTGGGGCTGATGATAGGCCATGCGGGTGGGGCCGTGCCCACCCATGGGTTCGGCCTAAGGGCCAGGACAGCTGTGCTTGCGAGTGCTTTGATCGTTGCGCTGCGGGTTTCTGGCCGGCTGGAGTCTTGAGCCAGAGCCCACACTTCAGAAGTTACAGCAACCTGGTTACCTCGCTCATGCCCAGAAAGGGGGCGGCTCACCCTTTTCTCAGGGTCACCCCTTTCCAGTCCCCTCCAACCCCCACCTTCTTGCCTCTAAAGTGGTTTCTTAGCAGATCAAGTGCTTCCTCCTTGGGTGCTCCTGGGTGTACATCTCCCCTCTTCTGGCCTCACAGGTTCCCCTCTTCTGGGATAATTTATGCCTCCAGTGTTTACTTAGCCACGGGGGGCCCTCTGGGGGATCACGCTTACAGAGGTCGGCCTGGGACAATTTATGGCCCTCTCCCCCCATGCTGTCCTGAGGCCGGTTTGGGATTCCCGGGGCTGCTCCAGGGATGGTAAGTGGGTCCCAGGGTGCTGGGCTGTGCCTGGGGTGGCAAGAAGGACAACACTGGGGTCACAGCCCTTCTGGGATCTCTGAAAAAGGGCTGCTCCAGGTGCTCAGACACACCGTGACCTGAAGTCACGAAATGTGAAGAGGGCAGGCGGGCCCACAGGATGCACCAAGGCCAGTGATCAGAGGGAGCCCATGGCTGCGAGCAACTGCCCCTGGCCGGGTGGACCCCTCCCGGGTGGGATTCCACATTCCCTCTGTGCTGCGCGGACCTATTCACAGCACAGGGCCCTCTGTGACTGCAGACACCTGACACTTGTGTTTGAGAGGAGATTCCATAAAGGCCAGGAATAGCTTGGAGGGGAGACTGCACACGTCAGTATATTCCGGTGGTCCTTGCACTCGGCAGGCCTGTCTCCAGACCCTGCTGACAGCTGCTTGGGGTAACCGCCCTTTCCAGATCAAAGCCTCACCCGGTGCCTGGGGCAGCGCCCCCGCTCTCCCGTGGACACGTGGCGTTTCCCCCTCCAAACGCCCCTGGCCCACGCTGCCAGCTCCCAGCATCTCTCCTGGTTGCTGGTGTCGCCTCCCAGCTGGCCCCACGTGGCCCTCTGTCTTTCTGGGAGCTGGGCGCAGACGCCTGCCGGTGTGGCAGACCCCTAGGGAAGGCCACAGCAGGCAGTAGCTCAGGGGTTCGGCGAGGGGGGCAAAGTGCCCCAAACACTTGGCACAACGAGGCCCAAGGCTCGAGTGCCTGCGGGAGAGCCACACTCCGACAGAGGCCAGGCCCGGCCTTCGGGGTCCCAGGTGCTTCTCCCGGCTGCTGTAGACGAGGCTGCTGTTGGACAGACGGCGGGGCTTCTGGACGGGATGGCACAGACTCCCACCGCCCGCGGCCGCTGCAGCTGCAGCTCTCAATCTTCGGAGGCCTTTCCTCAGTGGGGCTCCCGTTCCCACACCCTCCCTCCCCACTCTGCATGCCACTCTCTGCGGCTCCCCTCCCCTTCTGGGGGGCAGAGGGTGTGGGAGTAGGGACAAGAGGCCTCTCCTTCCCCACTGAGCCATTCCAAAGCCCACCCTGTCCCCATAAGAAGAGGCATGGAGGCCGCAGAGAGCACAGGCCATGGGAAATTTTTCATCCTCTTTTAAAATAAGGGACACTTAAAGGAGGGACTGCTGGCACCCTGTGTCACACGTTGCTTCCTGGATGCTCAACCATGTTTACACTCCCTGTTCTGAACTGAGAGTCAGCTTAGGAATCCCGAGACGGGACCTGGCTCAGGCTCCACAGGACGAGCAGCTTGGGGGAGAGGTCACCAAATCCAGCCTAACAAGGAGCTACTGAGCACCTAGAAAAGCTTTGGGTAAAGTCTACTGCATGAATAAATGAATGGATGTTTCCTATGACTACCCCTCAAACTTGTCTGCTAGTCACCAAGCTGCAGAAGAAGCCACAGAAAGAAGCCCATGGGTGAAGGTGTCAGGTTTGACATGACAGGCCCTTCCAGGCTGGAGGCGGCCCATTCTCTCCCGGAGCCCACGGAGCAAAGCCCCAGAGTCAGCACAGAGCGTGGGTTTCTGTCATGCTTTGCAGGGCCAACCCCCAGGACAGCCTCAGAACTCTCTCTGCCTAGCCTGTTCCAAACCATAAAGACCAGGAGAAAGCGATCTGTGTGGACAAAACTGAGAAGAAGCACTACCTACCCACTACCTGACAGTCGTCTAGAACGTACCTGAGCCCAGTGCTGGACACAACCATCTCTGTCATCTCAGCCCCACTGTCCCGACACCCTGTTCCTAGATCAGAGAGAGAGAGAGATGCAGGAGGCACGGACCGTGGGACCACGAGTCTCTCTCCTAAGTGCAGTGATGAAGCAGGTCGAATCCAGGCTATGCTGCCCCTGTGGCCGGTGCCCCAGAAGAGGCCAAGGGAGAGGCAGGAAGAGTCAGTCAAAGGAAACCACGGGAGAAGTGGTCCCCAGGGGCCTCGAGCTCAGAGGGATCTCACGTCCTGGGCACAGAGCGGGGAGGTTTTAGTCACTCACAAGAGGATTACGGTCATCTTGTTGACTCTGACCCTTGAGCTTCTTCTTAAAGATGGAAATCGAAGTAGAAGGCTTATAAAAAATGCTCCAGATTTCCCCC